AGTGAGAGTCAGAGAGGTTCCCTACCTTACTCAAAGTCCTGAGCTAATAATAACAAGGGCCAATATTTGAAAACTGGACAGTTTAGTTCCATGGTTTTTGATCTTTCCCTTCTTGCTCTCCTTGCCAAATTCTCCAAAACATGATGTAAGAAGTTAAATCAAGAAAACTCTCTATTCCTATAGATTGTGGGCATTTCCCTGAGGAATAATAATTCAAGGTATTTGAGGTATTTTCAGACAAAAAAAAGGACTCAGGACAAATGCACTAAACTGCCCTCTCTCTTGGATGGATCAAGCTGAGCTAGCCAGGGTGCTAGTCTCTTTACCTATATCCCGTGAAGCCAGTGGGACCACAGTAGAAGCTACAAGCCAACGGTCACTTCATCTGCACATGTACTTCACTGGATCCAGAGTGTTTAAAAAAAAAGCACCAAATCCATAAATTTCACATAAAAATTTATATTTTATGGCAATCAGAGGGTCCCTCCACCCTAGGCCCACCTTTATGGCAGCATTCAGTCAAAGCTTAGTGGTCTCAATTCCTTTTGATGAGCCACGGGCTCTTGAGTTCCTCACAGTCCCTACTACCCTCTATCATATCCGTGTACTAAGGCCACTGTGGCTGTAATTTTTCATTATGTTTATGTTATTGTTTTTTCTTATGAAGAAATATTTCCACAAATCTTGTCTCTTTTGACAGTTTGAATGATTGGTCTCAAGTCCTCACCCTTCCTTGTATCTGCCCCTTTAAAATGGTCTCTTCATGGGTAGAGTGTACTTCCCTAATCTCTGCTTATTTGCTCAGCCATGTGCCTTGCTTTGGCCAGTGCGGTGAGGTGAGAATCACAGTGTCGGTTTACGTCTAGGCCTTATGAGACCTTGTGAGTTTTTGCTTACTCTCTTGTGCCTCTGCTACTGTCATCAGAAGAGTTTCCCCTGTGGCACTGACCCCCTTCAGCCTCAGTCTCCCAGAATAAACATATGTGGAATGGAGCTACCCCAGCCACCCACAGACCTGCAGTGAGAAACAGGCATGCCCATTCAAGCCCACCCTGGAGAAGCTGAGCCACTTGGTCAATCTGAAAAATCTGTGACAGTAACTATTGATACTTTAAAGTCACTGAGTTTTGGGATGATTTGCTACACAGCATTATTATGGCAACTGCTAACTGATACATCTCTACCAAAAATTTAAATTAAGACAGGCTGAAAGAATGAGACATCATAATTTTTTCTTACATGCAAACCTGTTTCTTATTTATGCTAATAGCCTAGACCCTGGAGGCATCTGAGTTTGCAATTCCTGCCATAAAACTATAAACCTAAGAACTAAAGAGGGTTGGGCTTGTGAAATGTTTCTTAGCATGACTATATATCCAGATTGGACTGAAATAGCCCAATTTTTGCCTGTTGCTATTATGTCCTGGTTTGAATACATTCAACTTTGTCTCCAATTTTCATAACTCATTGAATCTCTTCAATCTCTCCTTTGGAACCTCATCTAATAGCTATTATTGTTGCAGAAAATACTCTACCTGAGATTTTTCTGGATATGATACCTATTTCGTTGATCAAAATCATTAAGTCAGCATGTCTAACCCTTACAAAAAACTAGTATAGAATAAACCAAATTTAGTCAGTGCCAATCCCACAACTACTAACCAGTCAACCAACCAAACTAGATCCCAGTTGACAGACACTTATTAAAAGGCTGAAGAAGCTAACTCATAAACAGGAAATACTTAAAACAACAGTGATATTAAAAAATCAAATGCCCCAAGAAAGGAAAGTTCTGTCTTTAGAAGGCAATAATTACGGCATCTGAGTACATCTGCTTAACAATCCAAGAAAGTGGGAGTTTCATTCTCTATTAACCTTAACCAGAGACATTTTCATCAAAATTAATTGTGATTACTTTTTATTGCATTTCAAATGCTATCCTTTATTTGGGGTGGTCAGGAATGCAACTAAGCAATTCCAGACCATGCTATCTTTCATGAATAGGTCTATGAGGTAGTTATCAAGAGGCCCCTTATAAAAATATTGCTATGCAAAAGTTCATGAGTCAAAACAAGACATTAATTTCCATAACTAGATGTGTCCTTAGAAAAGAAATGACTATATATAGAAAAGACAGCAAGTCTGATGCTCAACGCATATCAGAGTAGAACTGTATAAATGCCCATGCATATCATAGACAACAATTTCACAAAATGTTCCTTTTACCTTTTCCTTGTTATCATAATAACAATTAATCATTAATACTTATTGTGAGCATAGCTTATGCCAAGTATAATTCTAAATTCTTTATATGCATTGACTCTTTAATCTTCAGAGCAACTCTGAAGTAGATGCAATTATTATTATTTCCATTTTACAGACAGGAAACTGACATGAGGAAGAGAAAGTCACCTGCCCAAGGACATTCGGTGAGTAAATTCTGGAGCCTGGAATGAATCCTGGGCATTCTAGCTCCAGAGTCAGTTAAAGAAAGATGGTTAACACTTACCTCACTGAAAACTGACACCACAATCAATCAGTCTGTTACGTTTTGTGCCCTACCATACCTTGCTCTGTGCAGACTCTATATACCTTTGCTGACAGTTCTCTTGCCTGGAGTGCCTTCCCTACTAGCTGTGTCCCTCCCACATCAGCTCTAATCCTGTTCACTCCATGAAGACTCTCTGCCACTCCACAGTTTTCTTGTCATCCTCTTTTAGAACTCTTTTCCTGAACTCTCACCATCTAAAGATGGTCAGATCTAAGTTTGAGTCCTGGCTCTGCCACTTACTAGCTAAGTAATTATGTAACCTCTCAGAGCCCCCTTCTTCTCATATATCAAATGGGATAACAGCTTATCTACCCCATCTGATGGCTGTAGTGGAGCTCTATGGTTTTACTGTCCAGCATCCCTTCTAGTAACACGCACCTTTCTTTCTTGTGTAAGGTCACCTGTTCCCACTCTCAGCCCATAGGATTTGGGTGTAGCTAACCTCTATCCCCTAGGCTCCAGGTGATCACATCCTGGCCTGGCCAATATATGCATTCTTTCAGGTTTGAGTTTTTGCTAGAACCACTAAGAAAGAACCTTTCTGCTCTCCGAGTGTGACTGCACTCATAATGGAGGCTGGCTGCTGATGGCCATGGCTAGCATCACTGTGGACAGCTCTCCTAAGAATCAAAGCAACAAAGAGCAAAGCGCACCTATAAGTAGGATGGAGACAGATTCCTGATGCCAGTGTTGGAATATCTGAGTGTAGTCAGGCCTGAAGTCCACCCTGGCCTTTTCAGTTAATTGATTCCCTTTTTTGCTTACTTCAGACTGAGTTGTATTCCTATCAGTTGCAGCTAAGAATCCCAACTAACCCAGCTCATGTAAGAATTAAATAGGGCTGGGGCACCTGGGTGGCTCAGTTGGTTAAGTGTCTGCCTTTCTGCTCAGGTCATGATCCCAGGGTCCTGGGATCAAGCCCCACCTCAGGCTCCCTGCTCAGCAGGGAGTCTGCTTCTCTCTCTCTCTCCGTCCCCACCCCCCGCACATCCTCTCTCTCACTCACTCACTCTGCTCTGTCTCTCAAATAAATAAATGAAATCTTTAAAAAAAAAGGTGCTGTAAAGTACATAGCACAGTACCCAGTATACTGAAAAACTCAATAAATGATAACTACTACTGTGATTATTCCTCTACATTAGTTTCTTGAAGGCTGACTCCAGTTTTACCAAATGTAAAATCACCAACCTTGAGGTGAGGAACAAATGAGAATATATGCCCGGCAAGGCAATAAAATGTTCTACAAGTTTTAGTTCTCATGATCTCAGTCAGTAGGCTCCAATCTAATACCTCATATGATTGGTGGGAAAACTAAGACCCAAATCCTGGGACATGAACACTGAGAAAGCTGTGGATTCAAATAAGCTACCAGTCCATGCTCAGGTGGTCCCAAGCCTGAACAAAGGACTTAATGCTACTCTTATGCTAACCAAATCAGCCATCCATGCAAAGGGCCTTGATTGAAACCATTAAGGCACCTCTAGGACACAGAGAAAAAAGAAAAAAGTTTCTTTTTTCTTTTTTCCAATATTGACTAAGTAACCTCCATGTGCCATGCTCTGTGCATGATATTTCCTTGTTTTTCCTACTCTAGAATAATTATTTATTTCCCTTTTGGTCAATTAAAAAGATGAACTGTGAGTACATATTGAAACTATCTAACTTCTTCTATCTCCAAGGAGGAAACCTAATATATAACTGGAGAAAGACACTAATTAATAAGCAAAATTTAACATGAACTCTGGCCAAGTTGAACTTGAACTGTTCTGTTTAAAGGCACACTCGAATAAATAAAGGAACTTCAAAGCAAATGCCCTGTTTTAGCTTGAACGTTTTATTGAGCACATGGGGAGAGCTCCTTTGCCAAAAATAAGGATGGTTAATGAGGAAAAATTGATGTTTTCAGTCAGCCAGTTGGTTTCTGAGATAGGGCTGTCCATTCAGAGATAACTATATTCCACAGAGAAGACAGAATAATGATGTGTCTCAGAGCCTCAGAGTTTTGAACAAAACAAAACCAGTTTTGTAAACTGAGATCAACCTAATGCATCCTTTTTCAAATACCTTCTGTGATAATACGCATACATTTCCCTTCTACTAACGCCAAAACCACTGAAATATAATTGTAAAAGGAGGACATTTCTATGTTTTAAGCTTCTTGCCAACTATGTAAACGCAACCCTTACCTTTTAAGGTGAGGTATAGAAACCAAGAGATTGTGCAGTATTACAGTTTCCACCATAATCAGCTCTTCTTGGGCACAATTCTGAAAATGATGCTCCACAGTTGTAAAGACCTATTGGGTTCTCTGGGAGTACACTGTTAGTGCTGGACTAAGAGCTACGGCAAGTCCCCCATTTCTGTTCATATTTCTCCACAGCAATGGGTATATGTCAGAGACAGTTAATCTCCAATTATTTAGGTTTTAAGAGGAGAAGCCTGAGCTCACCTGCAAGTGCTGTGAGTTGTCAGCCATGCTATCTTCTCGCCTGCGGACTTCTTCCAGTAATTGGGCATTTTTCTTCTTTTCCAACTGTTGGTTGTGCTTGAGGTTGGCCACCTTCTTATTCTGATCCTTCATATGCCTGAGAAAAGTCAGCAGAGTGTGGTTAAATTCAACCACTGGAAGATAATATGTTATAACAACAAAAGTACTAAGGATAGAATATACTGATATGGATTCAGGAAAACTTGAAACTTCAGAATATTCCATTCATTCAACCACAAGTATGTATTAAGCACCACTTAATGCCAAGTGCCAGGATGGCACTGGGGCTGCCATGGTGAATGAGACATGTATAGTCTTCACCCAACTCATGGAGCTTGAAGTCCAGTGGGAGAGACAGACCAGTACCAAGGAGACACAACTTAGGTTTCCTAATGGAGAGGAAGTAAATTGCATGCTGTGACAAATGATGATGTGCATTGCATGTGTGGACAGGCATGGGGTAGGAAGATGACTTTAGGCACTGTAGCCAGGAAAGCTCCCTAAGGAGGTGAGACAGTGGATAAGATTCCAAGGAGCCAGCCAAGAAATCACCAGTGGAGGTGCTCCCCAAGTGGAGGGAACAGCAAGTGCAATTCCCAAGGCAAGAAAGAACCAACTACTTCTAGGAACTGGAAGGCTGCAGTGAGGCTAGCCCAGGGCGAGGGGGAAGAGAACCCACTCTTCCTGGGAACCTGGGACTGCAAAGGTAGGCAGTACTCAGGGAACACAGGGCCCCTGGTCTGTGACGGGGCATTCATTTTCTTCTAAGTGGTTGCTCTTCTAATTATTATTATTCTTTTGGATCATGTTCCTATTCTGAGATCATAATCCATTACTTTGATTTTAAAATAACAATTACAAGGCGCCAATCAAAGACACTGTCATAACTTAGCTCAAACAGAATAACACTTTGGCTAATCATCATATTAAGTAAAGACTGGTGCTTGGAATAAAATTTCTTAATGAATCTACAGGATGTCAAAGTGCAAAATCATAAAATGATCAAGTGAGTAAAAGACTGACAAAGGATGGGTTAAAAGAGCGGGGGGAGGAGTTCTAGGCTTAATGTGGACTATTTCACCAACAGCGTTTAGCAAAACATTCCACAGATTTAGGCAACCATGTCCATGGCAGCTGGTATAAATCTAATCTCACACGTGAGGAGGCAGGAGGGCAGTACAGAGGGCCTGGGAGCACTGATTCCAAAAGAGGAGGGCCACAGAGCAGAATCTTTTGGGATCCTTCCGGACTCTTCCCCGCCCCCCTCCACCCTCAGGCATTGCTAAGTCAGCCTCTGTCACTGAGCCCTCACTCCCAAAGCAAGCAAGAAAGAATCACTGCTCTCATGGAAATACGCACGAGATGAGAACTAGATGATACACAGCAAACATGTCGAATTAAAACAATTACTAATCAAATGGAAGCCACGCTCAAGAAGAAACTTTTATTTCTAGTCCTCATAAAATTATATACTTCCCTACTCCCTCTCACCCCAAGAAAATGAACTTCAAGAAAACTTATTAAGCTGAATGATCTATTAGAAATCCTGCTGATGAAAATATTCTGAACACTTTGGTCCTTATGAAAACTTACAGTACCAGCTGAAGCAGTGATTTAACTATTCCTGGTGACACTTATTAAGAGGATTGTGGTGAGAGAGAACAGCCATCTACTTGGTCAACATTTGGATTGGATAATTTTTATCTGACATTTCCTTGTTTTTATCCAATACGGTAATGGTACGTACACATCTGAAACTACCACCTCAAGTCTACATGCTAATCTTTTAAGAAAATTATCTTTTGGTTACTAAAAAGATGTTGAGAACAACCTCTTGCTTCCTAATTGAACAAGCATATAGTATTTCCAAAACTCATACTAACCTGGGGGAAGCACACTTCCCAGATCAGGAAATAAAGTCTATGCCCAGTAATAGGATATGATGGAGAGATCAGTGTTATTAGTGAGATTGTTTAAGTAGAGGATATTTTTATAAAGAAATACTTTTTATAATTTTGAAGAACATGCTTAAATAGAACCAACTACTAAAACGTTTTCTCCCCAAGTACCACTGAAAAAGAAAATAGATTATTATTGCCAATATCATTTGCATAAAGAACTCCCACAAAGTTCTAGGGGCAGTCTGAACATACATAGATCTTACTTTCAAGAACACTGCAGTGTTTTTTTCAATCCAAAAATTAAAAAATAAACCTTCAAATCCATGCATCCCTAAAGCTTCTCTGAATTATGAATGAGTGGCTAAGTATAATGGAAAACTGAAGTTCGGACATTGTGATGTAAGCCTATCTCCATATTCTACAACCTTTCCTTCAAATGCTGCCTGATGTAGGACACTAGTGATTGGAAAAGAAAAGCTGGGTTTTGAATGGCACTGCTCAGGATTTGGGCAATTAGGTGGATGCAGAGCAAAGTGATGAAAACGATCACCTTGTCTTTGTACACATGAATGTCAATAGATTCCCATTAAGCATACACACTCCCTTGCAGGAGTGCTTTGGTTTTCAAATACATTTCTAGCCGCAGAACTCTTTCTTCTAGTAAAAGCTTACTTGAAAACCGAAAAAGGAGAAGAAGGATTGCACTGGAAGAGGTAGGAAAAAGGTAAGGGGTGGGGGAGACAGGGGAGCAGAGCCTCACCTCTAGACAGTCACTCTCTCAGGTACCCCTCAGAGAAGCCCTAGGGCTACCTGAAGCATGGGCTATAATAGCAATTTATGAGGTAGGAAGAGAGAGAGAGAGGCATGAAATTTAAAAATATGAGATTCCCTGATGAACAGAAAGATCCCCCCCCCCAGAAGCTCACTAGACACTTCTTGAAGGAATGACCATTGTGATTTTTGCTAGTAATAACTTCAGTATTTCCAAGAATAAAATCTGTAGGTGACCTATCACTACCTGCATCTCCCCCACCTGCAGAAGTAAACCCACATGCATAAATAAACTGGGCTAAACTCAGTAAAGCTTTCAAAAGTACTAAACTCAGCAAGGTAGAACCCCTGGGGGTGCAGAATGCAAAGCCCTCTGGCAATACTGCCTCAGAAGACAATTATCATTGATACTCACTTCCCAAATTCCCACCCACTAGGCAACTCAGATTCCAAAGCTCTGCCAGAAACTGACCTGCTTCATGTTCAGAAATAAAGTTTTCTTGGGGTGAAATTTTTTCTCCAGGGAAACACCATTAAAAATATATTCAAGATGCAAATTTTTAAGAACGCCATTATGGAGGAGGGACCAATGGAGGTTAGTTGGAGAGTACAGTGGTAGGGTCAGTTTTCATCATTCAATTTAAATTGACCAGTTCCATAAAGCAATGAACTAACTTTTCATGTCACTTTTCAAAATTCAACCATCATTAAGGAATTTGGATTAAATTAAAAAATTCCAATAAGTATCAAGATTAACGATGACGGCTACTATATTAAGAATGAATGTTAGAGAGGAGAGAATCCTGCTATTCACTAGAACAGTCCATCAAATTAAAATTAAAATTAGAAAGTGTTCCCTAACTTGCTGGTGAGAAAGTATCAGGCTTTGTGGCCTCTAGAATTACATAGCTGGGAGGGAATGTGGAGCAGGAAGTACGTATGTGCATGTGTATATTGTATATAAAGGAGAAAATCAAAACTTCCCTTTTTTTAAATCTCAGCAGAAAGAGATGCCATTTTTTTACCTATCTGCTCTCAAAAACATTAAAAGATTCATAATGTCCATGTTGGAGAGAAGGCCAGAATCTAACTCTCTCATATGTGGTCAGAAAGAGTATAACTGACAAAAATTGGTTGCAAAATTATAAACCAATTTGGTAGTATCCATCAAAGCGTCCACACCTTTTGCCCAAGCAAACCCACTTCTCGGAAAGTAGCCTACAAAAATGCTTGCACAAGGCTGGTTCAACATCCGCAAATCAATCAACGTGATACAATACATTAACAAAAGAAAGAACAAGAATCATATGATACTCTCAATAGATGCAGAAAAAGCATTTGACAAAGTACAGCATCCTTTCTTGATCAAAACTCTTCAGAGTATAGGGGTAGAGGGTACATACCTCAATATCATAAAAGCCATCTATGAAAAACCTACAGCGAATATCATTCTCAATGGGGAAAAGCTGAGAGCTTTTCCCCTAAGGTCAGGAACGCGGCAGGGATGTCTACTATCACCACTGCTATTCAACATAGTATTAGAAGTCCTAGCCACAGCAATCAGACAAAAAAAAGAAATCAAAGGCATCCAAATTGGCAAGGAGGAAGTCAAACTCTCACTCTTTGCAGATGATATGATACTGTATGTGGAAAACCCAAAAGACTCCACCCCAAAACTCCTAGAACTCATACAGGAATTCAGTAAAGTAGCAGGATATAAAATCAATGCACAGAAATCAGTGGCATTCCTATACACCAACAACAAGACAGAAGAAAGACAAATCAAGGAGTCGATCCCATTTACAATTGCACCCAAAACCATAAGATACCTGGGAATAAATTTAACCAAAGAGGCAAAGGATCTGTACTCAGAAAACTATAAAATACTCATGAAAGAAACTGAAGAAGACACAAAGAAATGGAAAAACGTTCCATGCTCATGGATTGGAAGAACAAACATTGTGAAGATGTCAATGCTACCTAGAGCAATCTACACATTCAATGCAATCCCCATCAAAATACCATCCATCTTTTTCAAAGAAATGGAACAAATAATCCTAAAATTTGTATGGAACCAGAAGAGACCCCGAATAGCCAGAGGAATGTTGAAAAAGAAAAGCAAAGCTGGCGGCATCACAATTCCGGACTTCCAGCTCTATTACAAAGCTGTCATCATCAAGACAGTATGGTACTGGCACAAAAACAGACACATAGATCAATGGAACAGAATCGAGAGCCCAGAAATGGACCCTCAACTCTATGTCAACTACTCTTTGACAAAGCAGGAAAGAATGTCCAATGGAAAAAAGACAGTCTCTTCAACAAATGGTGTTGGGAAAATTGGACAGCCACATGCAGAAGAATGAAACTGGACCATTTCCTTACACCACACACAAAAATAGACTCCAAATGGTTGAAAGACCTA